GTATGCTGGTAGACGACAGCAGGAATAAAACTGCTGTTCGCACTGAACTTGTCGATTTTTGCGAGGTTTCACCCACTGTTGGTTCAAGCTTAGTCAAATGCAACAATAACTTCTCAGTCACTGAATAGCTTTAAAGTTAAAGGAGAAAACAAGCTAACGTTTCAGTATTCGTGCCAGAGTTATCGCATCATGAACTAGGCCAACTACATTGAACGTATCGCTGTGGGATGTCGTAGCAAGTGGTTTTTCAAACACAATTGCGCTTTCTTCTTTAGAATCCTCGTAACTGGCCAATTTTGATCTTCCATAGGATACTTAAGAAAAAGTCAAACAGTTTTAAAAATTTTTGTCATCAGTATCATCAGTTAAGATAAAAATAGCTTGACAAATTATGGAGCTCTCTTAGTACTGAACGCCGTTCATCAAGGACAGTTGCGAAGCCTTCCCCTTTTTCAACTAGCATCAAAAATTTTGTTTAAAAATTAGTAATTGTTACCATCGCGAGCGGCGGAAAGTTCCCGGGAATAACCTGGATCATCCTTCACGTGAAACATGCGTTCATCGTCTTTAACAAATACTGTCGCCGCAGCGGCGCCTTTACGCATTTGGGGTGAGGAGTTCTAAAAAACATTTTATCTAAGAAAAACCACTTCAAGTTTTTTTCTAAAATCCTGTTTTTTGACTGCTTTCTGCAACATCCAGTAGCAGGCGGCAATTAAAAGTGAAAGGCAGTACGCGCCGTAAAGGCCCTGAAGGCAAAAGGAAAAGGCTAGTAATTAAGAAGCAGAAACAACGGCCCATTCTGTGAAAGGTGAAGACCAGCAAGGGCAGTATCTGCCCTTCAAGGTGATTATGAATAGCCCGTCCGTGGGACGGCGGTCATCCGAAATGCGGTAACCAGTAAGTTCTTAAAAAAAGGGAAAGAAAACTAAAATAAGATCAAGAAGATTGTAGTGTTGCATATTTACAAAAACAGTGTGTCACGTATAAAAGTATCTGTGTCTCAATAATGTTGAAGTATTTCAGTAATGTTGACGTATAGACATACGTTTCAGTGACGGCGAAATACTTCATGTCACATTCTAGATGAATAATGCATAGTAAAACAGCACTTCTTAAGACCGCGAAGTGGAAAGAGATGTCGGCTAATGAATGGGACGGCAGTGTGGAATCTACGCACGATTACCGTGAAGAGAAGCTGCCGACGATTTTGCAATTTCAAGTTTATCGAGTAAGTACGTGAGAAATAGATGTTTGCGAAAGATAATATTGCACTTTTAGCGCAAAGAAACAAGTTCACATATTCACAGTATATTGATTCAACAAATCACAGGCCAGCATCTGCTCGTTTGAGCATACTAGAAGGTTAAACTGCCTCCAGCTTCGTTCTAAAACAGTTTCTAACAGAGATATTTTAGCTTTGCTGAAAAATGTGCTATTGCCTGGAGAAGCAAATGAAGTACGCCCTGTAGATTTCTGGGCCCGAGGATATCCGTCGTTCTCATCCGATCAGTGCCTTAATTGCTTACTGTGGGTATTGATCATTATATGTTTCTTCTTTGATATTTTTCACCGCTTGAAGGCATACATGACTCTCTCATTAATTTTTGGCATTCTGATCGTGAATATAAGAAAACGTTTTTTTTTTTCCAAACATCAGAATCAAAAATTAGAACTCCCCTATAATTTATCAACTATTAAAAATGAAGTAACTGAAGACAGCTTGAGTGGTAGCACGTGTCATTAGCAACCTTTTGCCGGAAACAAAGCTGAAAATGGCTCAATTCGCCGAGCGTTGCTTAAAAGCAAGCTTTTGGAGGCTTTAACCTCATTGCATGCGTTGACATCAATTTATCAACTGACAGAAATGAACAAATCGTTAAGAAACTAATGAGTCCGCTGGCAGAATCGAACCCTCGACCTTCAGAACGAGAATCGTTTTACTCGCTACTTTGTGTCGTCAAGCTGAGTAAAGTACACTCACCAAAATAATTTTCTTCATGGTTTCTAGGCTTCCTTTAACGGCTGCTTCACTGAAGATTTCATCGTTCACTGCAAAATTTGATACGCTCTAAAACAAAAAGGTATTCACATGAGCGCTCATCTATCTCATTTTCCTCTTACGGGGTCTGTTCGGATGGCACGCTAGTAAAGATGCTGAATCCGACGCATGTAAAAAATAAACAAAGGAATAGCAGTCCTGCTGAACAGCACAGCATTATAGTCACCAACATTCTAAACTGGATAGTAAACAAGAACTACAGTCAGACAAGAGGGCGACAGACTTTTGGGTTGCTCTAGAACACTTCGAGAGTGCCAAATTTGAACTGCGCTTCTCATTTTCGTCTCGTGTGGAAGCCACTGCTGTCGTGAACCGTGAGTCATTGGTGATAAATTAGCAAGTAACGATGTGTATAAAAAGAAGCTGACACGGTTATGCGTTTTCTAAAAGGCTTTTGTGCGGATCCCTTGTCTGGTGAAGGCGTCGATACAAAAATTCCGCTTGCTTTTTTTTAATTCATCCAGTTTACGAAATATGCCGCAGGGTTTTTTTCCTGTCCACTTCCACAAGATTATGCACCCTAATGTAGAAGACACGGAATGCCCATGAAAATCGATTTTACGGTTTTGGGCTTACACCTAGTCGACTGGCTCCATCGGAAGTTTCGGCGTCCAAGTAGTTCCTGAGCTGAATCATCCAACAAACAAACACATGCAAAGACACACCTACATAGATAAGTGCATATACGTTTCTGGACATAATCTTGGTCATAATATGTTTGGCGTTCTATGCAAAAAGGCATAAAAACAAAACCAGTAAACAAGTTTTCTAATTTCCACAATTTTTAATAGCGAGTACTGAGAAGAGTAGCCGAAAGATTGGTCAATATACTGATTAAAATATGTCTCATAACCGTTTCAGTCTGTCGTTGTGGACAATTTTAATCAGTGCAGGTAAAGAATGCGCGAACAGCTAACATAATTTTAAAAATAAACTAACTGCACATAAAGATGAGGCTGAGGTATTTGTGTACTGCCGGACCACAGTGGGAGTCACCCATATACTCATCTGTGACCGGAACCGTGCATTCTGTCTGCGCATGACAGTCCAATAGCAAACGGCCAAGCGGATCCGTTACACAGTCTACAAAAAATGTGACTACAACATTCATCATCAGTGTATTTTAGAAGGCAGCTTATAATGTAACTGTTTTGTGCGAAATTTTAAGGGCGGTTTTCTCGTAAATTTTCCAGACTCTCCAAAATTTTAAAGCTTTAGCTTTAAAATAGTTAACAGTGGAAAAGCTATACAATCGTTTCACAAATCTCGACAGGTGCAAGTTGCATCCTATAGCGGTAATTGACATCGCCTCCTCATTTCCCTTCTTCGAATCCGATGAACACAAATTGAACAGCACTGAACGGCACGCCGGTTTTAACGGAAAGGCAGTTTGATTGACACATTTGCCTTCGCCGTCATCTCTCCTTCCGGTTCTAACTACCTCCATATTTGCATGAAATTAATTTTGAAAAATATTTTAATTACTTGCGAAACCAGCTCGAAGGGTTGGCAAAGAACAAAAAAAGCTTAAAGAACGCAGGAAATTCAACGGCTTGTTGAAACTGTGATTTAGAGCATAGCACATGAAAAACCCTGCAAATGCCTAATTGAAGTAGATTTTTTATATTCTTGAGCAAAATCTCTTTTTAGCCTTACGTACTAATTAAAAACCATAAATTTGAGTTTGTGAGGTAGCAATTCTCTCAACTCCGGTCACAGAATCTTCCTTCGTTTAAGAAGTATGCCATCAAAATTGTTTTGAAAATAATTTTCTTATCCAAAAATTCATACCCCTCATCACCGGAGTACTGGGTGCGCAATGCACAGTGTGATGATCCTTCGCTATTCTGCCGTAGTGAGCCGAATAAAGTGCCAGACGTTTGTTCTGCTTGCAGTTCAAATGCATCATCGACCCCTCACAAAATGTTTCGTCATCAAATGATACTAAAAAATATTTTCAAGCCTTGACGTATTTTTTTTTTATTTGGTCATGTTGGAAACGTTTTTTTTAGAATAAGAGATTCCTGGACTAACGGTACGTGCTTTTCAGTTCTGCAAATGGATAAGAATGAGCTGCTTTCGAAATTTTTAGGTTTCGACGCTCAGCGACTCGTCACAGATGTGAGGCTTTAGCTGATTTCTGGACATCTTTATTTTCATTTTTTTTTTTTCAGACGTTTTATTATTAAAATACCTTGCACATTCTGATACAATTTATTGTAGATATAATCTGATAACATTTCCAAACTGTATATCAATATGAATACGCTCTTCGTACCACTTGCTCTCAATTTGTTCTTTGTAAAACCAGTAAACGTTTACATACATAAATACACACATACATACATACATACATACATACATACATACATACATACATACATA